TCCTTCTCCCTCTCCCCCTCCTCTCCAGTCCTAAGAAGAGTCAGGGTACCGTGCCCTGTGAGAAGTCCACGCCCTTCCACCCTCATCCGGGTCTAGGAATGCGTGCATCCAAAAAGATTAGGCTCCCAGAAAAGCCAGTACATGCAGTAGAATCAAAACCCAGTGGCATTATCATTGGCTTCCCAGTCAGCCCTCATTGTCAGCCACATTCAGAGAGTCTGGTCTGATCACATGCTTGTTCAGTCCCAGTCCAGCTGGCCTTGCTAAGCTTCCATTAGATCAGTCACACTGTCTCGGTGGGTGGACACACTCCTCGCGGTCCTGACTTCCTTGCTTATGTTCTCCCTCCTTCTGTTCTTCATCTCGACTTTGGGAGCTCACTCCAGTGCTCCAATGTGGGTCTCTGTCTCTATCTCTATCCATTGCCAGATGAAGGTCCGATGGTGATATGCAAGATATTCATCAGTGTGGCTATGGGAGAAGGCCAGTTCAGACACCCTCTCCTCTGCTGCCCAAGGACCTAGCTGGGGACATCCCTTTGGACACCTGGGAACCCCTCCAGAACCAAGTCTCTTGCCAAACCTAAAATGGTTCCCTTAATTAAGATATCTTCTTCCCTGCTTCCATATCCACCCTTCCTCCATCTCAACCATCCCATTACCCCAAGCTCTCCCCAATCTTCCCCTTCTCCTTTCTCTCTCCCCATCTCCCCTTCCCCCAGCTCCACCCCCACCCTTGTGCTCCAAATTTTGTCGGCGATTTTGTCTACTTCCGATATCCAGGGGGATAAATATATGTTTTTCTTTGGGTTCACCTTCTTATTTAGCTTCTCTAGGATCATGAACTATAGGCCAATGTCCTTTGTTCATGGTTAGAATCCACTAATGAGTGAGTACATACCATATTCATCTTTATGTGTCTGGGTTACCTTACTCAGGATAGTGTTTTCTCTTTCCATCCATTTGCATGCAAAATTCAGGATGTCATTGTATTTTACCACTGAGTAGAACTCTAATGTATATATGTGCCACACCTTCCTTATCCATTCTTGTATCGAGGGGCACCTAAGTTGTTTTCATGTTCTGGCTATTACAAATAGTGCTGCTATGAACATAGTTGAACAAATGCTTTTGTAGTATGATTGGGCAGCTCTTGGGTATATTCCCAAGAGTGGAATTGCTGGATCCTGAGGTGGATTGGCTCCCAGTTTTCTGAGAAACCACCACACTAATTTCCAAAGTGGTTGCACAAGTTTGCATTCCCACCAGCAATGGATGAGTGTGCCTCTTACTCCACAACCTCTCCAGCAAAGGCTATCATTGGTGTTTTTGATTTTAGCCCTTCTGACAGGTGTAAGATAGTATCTCAAAGTTTTTGATTTGCATTTCCCTGATTGCTAAGCAAGTTGAACATGACCTTAAGTATCTTTTGGCCATTTGAATTTCTTCTTTTGAGAATTCTCTGTTCAGTTCAGTACCCCATTTTTTGATTGGGTTCTTCAGAATTTTAATGTCTAGTTTCTTGAGTTCTTTATATATTTTGGAGATCAGGCCTTTGTCTGATGAGGGGTTGGTAAAGAACTTTTCCCATTCAATAGGTTGCCTTTTGTCTTAATGACGTGCCCTTTGCTTTACAGAAGCTTCTCAGTTTCAGGAGGTCCCATTTATTCATTGTTGCTCTTAATGTCTGTGTTACTACGGTTATGTGTAGGAAATGGTGTCCTGTGCTTTTGTGTTGCAGACTACTTCCCACTTTCTCTTCTATCAGGTTCAGTGTAGTCAGATTTATATTGCGGTCTTTAATCCATTTAAACTTGAGTTTTGTGCATGGTGATAGATATGGATCTATTTTCATTCTTCTCCAGCAACTGTAGTCGCAGGGGCAGCGACAGCAAGAGCAGCAACAATTGCAGCTGTTATCCCAAAGTCTCACCCACTGTCAATAAAGGTTGATCTCCTGATGTTATTGAGACACTAGCACAGGCAGAGAAATCACAGCAGGCACTCAACCGATCAAACCTCCATCAGAACCATTCCAGCAATTACTCAACTTGCAGATCATGGAAGAACAATTAAGAATATTGCCCTCCAAAGTGCCATTCCACAATACAGAGAAAAATGGGCCAAGAATGCAAGCAGAAGATCGAATAGTCATATTGCCATTGTGTCCGGCAGTATAATTTATCTTTAGAGAGGTTTACTCATGCCTGGGAAAGGTGGAATTATTCATTGTTGGCCTATGGCCATACCACCACATGTCTTTTCTACCTTTTACCAAATCAGGCTCTTGAGTGATACATTCTCCCCACAATACTGTGGGGTGGATATTAAAATCTCTATCAAATCCTTTTTCAGGATGGGATGCAGTATATTTCTAATCCTATCACCCTACTATGAATATGATTATTAGTAAAGTCTACAATAGAAGCATTATGCAATAATAAACATCCATGATGAAAGGCAGACTCCTTCACCAATGACAAGATAGCAAAAAGTGAGGGAAAGAGAGGGCTATTTTTACTAACTGGAATTAAAAGTGGGGGGTTTCTCAGCAGACTCTCCATCATCTGTGATTCTGTTGTTGTCACCTGAAGCAGAAGGAGCGTCGTGTATTTCATACTGGGTCACCGGCTGTACACACTGCTCTGGTACCCAAATTAAACTCCTGGAGGAAAAACACATACAGTCCCCCCTCACCTATACCAACAAGGGGATATTTTCTTTCCATCTTCCAGTTTGCAGATCTTTCCAATGAACCCATCCAAGGCTCTGAGCCCTAACTTGTGTATGGCGCTTCATAGGTGAGCACTCTTCAGCATCCACAATCCAAAAATTAAAAAAAAAAAAGAATGGTGGATAACAGAGTTGCTGGGGAGAATATGTACTCGCCCCTTTTTATTTTTTGAAAATATTACTTGAGGGTCTTATTGGCTCTTTCCACAATTTCTTGACCCATTGGGTTATATGGGATGCCTGTTTTATGGGAAATTTCATAGAGTGAACAAAAAAAATAAAAAAAATTTTGCTAATATATGCTGGGCCATTATCTGTCTTAATAACCTCAGGTTTGCCCATATAGGCAAAAGCAGATAGACAGTGTGCAATGGCATCTTTTCCTCGTTCTCTCAAATGCAAGTATGTGCTGTTTCATTCTGGGCTGAATAACCATATGACCTTTTCACACACTTTTCCATGATTCTGTTTTTTTTTCATTCTTTGTGTATTGTGGATATTAATCCTCTGTTACATGTAAGGAGTCAAAGCTGCTTTCATCTCACTCCAGCCAGAACAGCTAAGATCAATAAAACAACTGACAACAAATGCTGGCAATGCTGTGTGGGAAAGAAGAACCCTCATTCATTGGTGGGAATGAACATTTGTGCAGGCACTCTGGAAACCAATACAGAGAACCCTAAAAAACTCTATGACCCAGCTATACCACTCTTGGACACATGCCCAAAGGACTCACACACTACTCCACAGATGTTTGCTCAGCAATGTTCACAATTGCTCTGCTCACAGTAGCCAGGAAATGTCCTGCAATAGATGAATGGATAATGAAAATGTGGTACACGTACACAATGGAATGTTATTCAACTAACTAAAAGTGAAAGCATGAATTTTGCAGGTAATGACTGAACCTCAAAAGATGACATTGAGTAAAGTAACCCAGACCCAGAAAGACAAATGCTGCCAGTTCATTCTCATTTTTGGTACCTATATTCAAATCTTCATATACAAAGCTATCATCCCTTATCAAAGAAGCCTCTCTTCCAGCAGGTGGAGAGCATTCCTGAAAATCACAGCTGGACACAATGCAGAGATAAACTATCATGAAGGCCAAGACCCAACAGACACATCTACATTTCTCCTGAGTCTATGGCTCAGAAACATTTTGAAAGAGGGAGCAGAAAGTTTGGAAGAGTTGGAACCAAAGGGAATGTGCTGTGAAACAGACTCTCCTAGAATAGCCGCATAAACCAGATAAGAACAATGGCAATAACAATGGACAAATTAACATGGAAGGGAGAAGATTCTATGAGGTTCCCCCATCTAGACAGGAAACCATAGGCAACCAGTGCCTGCTGGGAAGGAAGGAGAATTAATTACCTTTTCCAGGGATGAGCCCCAATACAAAGTTGTCAGCCCTGAAACCATACACAGAAACAAAAAGAACAGACGTGCTCAGGAAAGTAAAAGTTAGTAGTGGCTTAGATGTCACCTGGATTTAGTTGGGTCTGATTGCTGCATCTAGTAAACTTTAAAACTTTAATGGCATTTGCTTTCTAATCAGATGTAAAATTAAATATAAGTGATATAATTAGATAATTTATTACAAAACAACAAATTCTGCTTCCTGAAAGTCAACTACACCGTCATTTATTAAGTATTTAATGTATTCTATTTCTGTAAGAAGTAACAGGGAGCTTCATGGAGCTTCAAGGAACATGAAGAAGAAGAAAGTGGCAAGGGATGAAGGTCTTGGAATTATCAAAAAAAAAAGTGCTGAGGGAGAGTCACTGTGCCTGGGAGATCAAAAAGCTCAAGGTAAGGGCCAGGAAAGCACATCAAATATGGACTTAAGGAAATGGAGATGATTTTAATATTTCTATTCATAATGACTTAGATGCAGCAAGGAGAAGGGAACTGACAAGAAGCAAAAGGCTCAAGCAGAAAACTGTGGGTCTTGCACATGGGTCAGCACCGGGTCCACATGGCACACACTAGAGTCAAGGACATAGTGTTCCTCTCTATCATGCAGGACCATCTCTGGGCATCAGGCTATGGAGGTAAATCCGGAGCCAGGACAGTGGGTTTCTGCATTCTCTCTGCCTGCTAATCACTGGGGATTCATCATAAATGCACATCTCAATTTTGGAAAAATAATTGGGAACAGCTGACATTTACATTGCACCCATGCCTTGTCAGTCATCATCCCAAGGATGTTGCACATGTAGCTCATTTATGTCCCACAACTCTGTGCTTTTTGTCTTTTAAAAGAGCAGAGAGCCTCAAGTCCACAAAGATATTGTGACTGAGTTCTCCTCACACGTGTACCTTCTTTTTGGAAACAGTGAGGGGAAAGGGCTGCAAATTTCTCAAAGACCAGAAGCAGGCTCCACCCAGCAGAGTCCTTATCCACCTTCCAGGTGCCCTGGGAATGACAGAATACACTTCCTGTAGTGAGAGGTCTCTGGCCTCCTGGAGCTATCTCCACGTTTTCTCTGAACATATGTTTATCTCCCTCATTTCTTGAGTATCTCCAAATTCAAACTGTCTGTTGTCTCCTCAAAGTCCCCGCTGTAGTCTGGTGGAAAGGCTCACACATGAAATCCAGCATATGGGAGACTGAAACAGAAGGATTATACAAGTTTACATAAACTTCAGCCTTGTAGTATAGGTTGGACACCTGCCTGGGCTACTGAATGAATCCCGATCTCAAAACAAACAAACAAACAAATGGGAAACTATAGGCAATCTCTGATCCCGAGACAGCAGAAATATTTTCTCTCTATTCTAACTCCCAGAGCTGTCTATCCTTTTCTATCTTTCTGTCATATTAGTTGTATATTCTACTGAATGTCTCTTAAAATGAGAAAAGATGGTTTTTTAAAAAAATAAGAAAATTTTAAAAATACACACGACATTACATTAAGAGTAAGATTTTTGAAAGATCCATAGTTGTGCGAGTAGGAAAGGGATCAAAGCAGGTAATAGGGTAGATAAACTGATGATATATTGGATATATTTATGAAATTGTCAAAAATTAAACTTTTAAATTAAAAAGAATTTATTAAGGTATTAAGGTGTATTTTCAAAATCAAGTCAGCACACAACACTAAAACACCGTGTGAAGATGGTTCTTTCTCAGTGAATTCACCTTTGAGGCGGAGGCCCTCACTTCTGCCCCAGTCAGTTCTGATAGGAGATGGTAATGGACCACACTTAGAGAAATCACAGCAGCCCTTTTCACTCTTCTCAGCCCCCCAGACCCACATGCAGACATATCAAGGGAAAAGCCAGCCACCTGCAGGAGCACCTCATCGGTGGTGGGCGGGGTGAAGTATGTGTGTGATGAGTATGGGTTTCTCTGTTAGAGACGGACATGAGGAACCTGGTGTTCCTCCTGTGCTGTGCAGAAGGGCCAGACTGGGGATGGTGGCTCCCAGGAAAGCCAAGGGCCGAGTGCTTTCCTGTGGAAAGGTTGAGGAATGATTGATAATGCAGGGAAGTGGAGCACGTAGGGAGTCCAAATATAAGCAGCAAAGCCAAAGCAAGAAATCAGCTAGCAAAGAAAATGTATCAGTGTCTTGAATAACAGACATCTAACTTGGCAAAAGGATGTGTACAAGTCCAAGGGCCTCTCCTAAACTCTCTGTCCTGTGAAAGTATACTCCTCCCCATTTCTGAATTTCAAAAGACCCTAAAGGGAAAGAACTCTAAACCTGTGCCTGAATTGATCTAGGGGAGGGAGAATACAGTTCTGCAGAATGACAGGAGAGATGGGAATGTATTTTCTTCTGTTCCTAAATGCCACATGGCAGAGACATCCCTATAACCTTTAATTACAAACACTTAAAGATTATTTATTTTGCTTGTGGGATTTTTTAGTAATAAAGTTTATTGTTCTAAACGAAAATTAAATTTATAAAAAAACCTTTAAACAACAAAATCTCACTTTTGTATAGGTTTTATTTCTATTAATACAAAGTTGCTTTCTGTTTTTTCTCACATTGCATTAAGTGTGACAAGAATTTTCAGTTGCCCAAAACTGTTAATATGACTATTTCTTAAATCATCTATTTGGTGATGGATGCATGAATGTCATTCTTTCATATCACATACTTTATTCTCCGTGAGAACACGAGTTTCTCCAGAACACTACCCTGAGATTTCTAGTTGCACCAGGATTTGCTCGAGAGAGTGCCCCATAACACTTGGCCCAGGATACGGGATATTCTGTGGCCATAACACTCTGAGTGTACCCAATTGTGGCAGGACATGGGGACACTGAGGAGTGCTAGAGTTCTCTCATTTCAGATCTTATTTTGAAGACTGGAGATCATCATGTATAGGCTGAGGGTCTGCAGGACTTCTGTTCTGCCCCATTTGGCACCCTGAATTTCTAATATGCCTTATTGTCATTTGATTCCTCATGGAGAAAAGTACCACGTGAGTCAGGAAAATTAGAAAGTCTCCTTACCCGGGACACCTGCACATCATGTGGGGTGCTTCTAAAAAAAAGGAAAAACCTCTAAAGAGACTCCAGTTGATGACAAGCTGGGTTCATTAAGGTCTGAGGCATCACGTAGATCATCATGAAGTCTTGGGCAAGAACACAATGCTATGTTTTGATCTGAGAGTCCTTATCTGACTTTGGACTAAAGGACTCTGGCTGTGAACCAGGAGATGAAAGCACACACCTAGGTAAACATATGGCTCCTTTCTGTGCCCTCCTAAATGAACTTTGTTCTTGGCATCTTCTTCTCCCTTTTAATGACAGAAAGAAAGATGTCACAAATAATCCTGACATTAAATAGTGCACTCATTATGTGTAATTAAGAATTGTCTTGAGCCAGAGAAACAGCTCAGCATGTACTGTGCAAATGAAAACTACTTTGGGGTTCCATCTCACCTTGGTCAGATGACTGTCATAAAGACATGAAATGAAAAGAATTCTAGCCAGGATGCGGGGAAAGATTAACCTTTATTCATTGTTAGTGGGAAGACAAACTGTTCGAACCATTATGAAGGTCCATGTGAAGGTTTCCTCACAAACACTATGAATGTCAGTGTGAAGGCTTCCTCACAGACACTATGAAAGTCAGTGTGAAGGCTTCCTCCCTAACTGTAAATAAAACTACCATATGACCCAGCTATCCTTCTCTTGGCCATGTAGACTATCTACTCCATTGCCCACTCATTGCTGTTCTGTTCACAATAACTAGAAAATGGAAATAGCCCAGATGTATAGAAACTAATGACTGGATCATGAGAGTGTGGCACATATGCACGATGACATTTTATTTGGTGCAAAGAAAAATAAAATTTTGAAATTTGCAGGTAAATAATTGGAACTAAAAAAAATCATACTTAGTGAGGAAACACAGACCCAGAAAGAATCTCATATGCTCTTTTATTTGCAGACATTTCCTTTACATCCTTCCATATGTGCAATTAATCGTGAGTGCCTGTAGACATCAGGTTATTAGAAACAGCCCATTGTGAGGGATAAAATGATCCTGACTCTCTGTCAGCACATGGCTGGATAATAAAAATATGGTGTCCATACATATGATATTTTTTTCAGACAAGAAGTAAAATGAAGTATGCTGTTTTCTTGCAATTAGGTGATCTTGTTAGTTAAAAAAAATACTAAAAAGACAAAAGTGCCATAATTTCTCCTCTTTGTACACCCTAGATTTTATATAGATAAATAAAACCACAGGCCAGCATTAGCAGGGAGGAGAAAGGGACAATCAGGACAGGATGGACAGTGAGAATAATCAAAGCATATGATAAATTGAAAAGATGTTCTTCATGATGCCCGGAACTAGGTATAATAAATATATGTCAAATAAAAACTAATAATAAATGTTCAACAAAGAATGATGGAATTTTTATATAGTACCTGTTAATGGCAAGCACTCTTAATGCAAGCATTAAGCACTCCTTAATATTTATAAGCATGCAGCCTTTCATACAGAAAAGAATAAAATCTATCCCACTATCCAGGGCACATGAAAGAATAAAAGGAGATGCAAAATGAATGGCATTCCCAAGGAAAAACATGATCATGAAGTTCCCTGAGTAAAACTGGAAACAACACAACTAGCCTCTGTGGTGGGTGTATCACTGCACCCAAGCTACACAGCACGGGCCAAGAAGAGTTTTAAATAAACATCTTCATATCATAAATGGTAATTGGCATTACCAGGGTACAAAGCCAAGTCTCTGGATCAAGAATTCACATTCAATTCTTTCTTCCTCCTTGCCTTCACCCTCAGAGATATTGACTTTATAGCACAGATAGAATGTATGGACTTGGCTGCACTACCACTCCATGTGACATCTTTGTAGATGCCCCAGTTTTCTACATGAGGTTTTTTCTATGCAGAATCCCCTCTTCCTTCCCTGCTCTAGTCATTCTGAGCAGAAACATCTTATTCCCTCTCTCAGTCACATCAAAAAAAGGCCATGTCTGCATTTTCTCTTGTCTCTGCATTTCTAGTGACACATCCTTCATGTGAATCTACAAGGCTCTCTGAAGACCTCTGCTCAACATCTTCAGGACCTGATAACTTTAGAATGTGATCCATAGGTCCTTGTCTCTACATTATAGTCATAAAAAGATGCTTAGTAAGTAAGTGTATGATTGATTGTGAGTCTATAATCTAACTTTAACAAAGGTTCCACTGAACGTAAGACAAGTTCATCACCATCCTCATTTGGAATTGAAGTTAGGAGAAATAGAAACATTTAGGAGAGGCAGATATCAGTCATAGCTCTAAAATTAAATTCCTGCATTCATCCCTAGATTGTGACACCGTGAGGTTTTCTTACCAGGATGAAAGTTTAGGGTCTACTGGTCAAGTATGTATAGAAAATGAAAGTTCACTGAGCCCAGGTAACTCAATGTTCATCTTCCCCAGAAGGGTACTCAACTTCTTATCCAACCAGACACACTATGTTCTGGGCGATAAGCTGGATTTGTAATCAGAGGGTACAGTCACCAAGAGACACCAAGTGACTCATCCTCTTTGATCCCCTCCTCCAAATCCTGAACTACACACAATTTCACATTGCTTGATAAGTGTGGTCTAATATTAAACTCTTTTAAACATGAGATAGTTGATATACTTCATCAGGTCTCTACATCAGCATTGCCATTTTGTTAGTAACTTCTGATTCCCCAAAGCCAGCATATTCCTACTGCTGTGGTCACCCACATTTGTGACTCTGCATTCTGAGAGCTACTTGGGGAGCTATGTGGAGAAGCTGTATGAGTGTTTCCTTTCCTGAAACAGGGAATCTCATCTGGGGACCGTTTTGTGTTCTCCATCTTTCAAAAAGGGCACTGAGTGTGAATGCAAGCATTTTAATGATTCAGCATGTGAAGACACATGACTTGTGTCTTCAGAAAAGAGGAATCTGAGAATGTGTTCCAATTTATAAAACGAATC